TGTGGATAGTTCCTGCAATGGTGTTTCACCAAAGCTGTAGGCTGAGGCAGGAAAGAGGTCTGGCCATTGAGGACAGCTCCTTATGACAGCAGTATGCTGAGGAAGGAAAGGAATACCACCATGGATAGTTCTTGAGGGGTTGCTCCTGCTAAGGCAGGTGTACAGACTGCAGGCTGAGATGTCTTGGTGCTGCCATTTTGGCAGCTCCTGATGGGCATCTCACCACTGGATCCTGAAGGAGAGGCTGAAACAAAAAATTTTTATACTGATATGTATGCTTGTGTCCCTGAACATTTAGTAATTAATTTCCTTACTAAATGGTGATCTCTATTAAATTTCTCAAAGAATTTGTATTAGATTTATCAACTTTTTAAATAAATGGTACTACTAAATTTGAAGAAACATATTCTATTCATTTAAAATAAAAGAATCTTACACATTTAGGAATGTTGGTTATATGACTTTCAAATATAAATACTTTCAAGTATGAATACTTTAAAAACACCATATTTTATTTTTCACTATATATATAGTAAAATATCTATCTATCTCGATCTCTACCTATATCTAATTTATCTAGGATTGGATGTCTAAATGTTTGAGAAAATGTGTCACTACATAGTCTAAGATAAACTATGATGCACTTTAGAGGCCAGTGTGGGTTTGAACCTATGGAGTATGTGCCTTTTTCTTCTGAGTGACAAAATTCCAAGTAAATACCATCAGGCTCAGGTATTTTTTTGTCATTTTCAGATGCTCTCACTTTGTAAGTCAAGTAATTCCAGAAGTCTGAGTATTAACAGCCACAATTCCTGGAAGTTTAGTTACTATATGTCTTTCCATCCCCATCTTGGCCTTTTGTATCTTCTCAATAGGAGCTAGAGATCTCAATAAAATACTCCCTCACAACACTAGACTGAACTTTGATTTTCCAATTTTAGAATTTTCCAATTTCCAATCAGCATTTTCCAATTTTAGAAACAGCTCACTACACAAGAAAGTATGATAATTAGGTCTTTTATTATTTTCTTCATATTTTTCTTTTTTTATTGGATGTTTTATTTACATTTCATATGTTGTCACCTTACCCCATCCCCCGCCCACCCAGGAACCCCCTATCCCTTCACTCCTCCTCCTGCTTCTCTGCGGATGTACCCCTACTTACCCTCTCACTCCCACCTCCTCACCTTTCAATTCCCACCCCCTGGAGCGTCCAGCCTTCATGAGGTCAAGGATCTCTTCTCCCACCTATATCCAGTAGGGCCCTCCACTCTTACATATACAGCTGAAGCCATGGATCCCTCCCTAAGTGCTCCCAGGATGGTGGTTTAGACCCTGGGAGCTGTGGTTGGTTGGTATTCTTGCTCTCCTCATGGGGCCACAAACCCTTTCAGCTCCAATGGTCTTCACTCTAACTCCTCCATTGGGAACCCCATGATCAGTTCAATGGCTAGTTGTGAGCATCTGCTTCTGAATATGTCAGACTATTGCAGACCTCTAAGGAGACATCTATATCACGCTCTTATCAGCATGCACTTCCTGACTTCCACATCAGCATCTATCTTTGGTGACTGCACATGGGATGGATACTCAGGTGGAATGGTCTTCAGACGGCCCCTCCTTCAGTTTCTGTCCCTCACTTCGTCTCCATATTTGCTCCCTTGAGTATTTTGTTGCTCCTTTTAATAAAGACCAAATCATCTCACAGGCCATATGAAGCTCATGAAGAAGGAAGACCAAGTGGGGATGATAATTAGGTCTTAAAGCAGGGACAGATGGCTAACTGAGGTGCCCATTAACATATCAAAACAGATATGTTAAAACACTTCTCTGATAGACTTCCCAGTACCCACCCCATCCCACCCCTAACCCCCAGCCTCTTTCTGTTACCTGCCCCTCCTGGCTGGCATACCTCACCCCCTACCCTGAAGTCTGCATTCCATATATTGAGCTGATCTTGACTTCCCCCAGCTCCTCTGTCCTCTATATACTACAGCCATTACAGTTACTTGCTCCTTTTTACATCTGTCCTTTACAATAACTTCTGATTTGGCTCTCCAATCTCCCCTCCTCCTTCTCTTCACATTGCCTGGCACCTTCTGGCCATCCTGACTGAGGACTCTACCAGTTGTACCTGCCTCTAGCTATGCTCTTTCTTTTACTTATAATAAACTTTCTCCTACACCATACCCGGTAATAGTCATGTTCTTTTCCAGTTTACCTCTTTTTAAAATTTTTATTATTTTATTCATTCTGTGTCCCAATCACAGCAGCCTTCCTCCTCTTCCCAATCCCTCTGTTAAAAAAATATTCTCCTACATGTTACCCTCAGAGAATGAGATTCCCCCTTCCTTGGAAACTACCCTAAACAGGGGCATCTAGTCCCAGCAGGTATAGGCACATCCTCTCTCATTGAGGCCCAATCAGGTAATCTAAGTAGGTTCAGGGAGATCCACTGGCAAGGAGCAGAAACTGATTGAACCCCCACCTCACTTGTTAGGAGACCAACATTATCATTGGGTGTGGACAATTTTCAGGGACTAAGCTGTTCTTACACTCTTTACATAGTACATTTATATTTACATTAGAGAGTAAAGACTCAATAGAATAGGCCTTCAGGCTCCTTTAAGATACACATGATGCTTTAGTAAATTTTCTGCTGACACCAACTCCCTGTGGGTGAAACAGGAGCAGGTGCCCTTGGAGCAGCAGGGCACAGTCTGCTGAGCTGATTTGTGTATGGAGTCATTATATAACAGCCCAGGCTCCTGCAAGGACAGCTTTCAGGAGCCTAAGAAGCATCCTCTCTTCCAGCTCTCAGAGATGGAGTCAGACACACTGTTCCTATGGGTGCTGCTGCTCTGGGTTCCAGGTGAGGATGCAGAGAATTGTTGGGAGCAACCTCTGTGTCCATCATAAATTTCCATGCCTCTGGGCTCTCTTGAGCATTATAATTAGGGTATTTGTAAGTGGTTTTAAGTTTCCCAATTCCCCTTGATTTTCTGGTTTCCAAGACTTATGTCCATTATTTTAAAAGTTACAAATCTAAAGGTCCTCTGTTGATAAGGTTTTTATACATATATAGCAATAGCCTGTCCCACGTTTTTATTATTCCAGGTTTGGCTGTGGCATTGTGCTCACTCAGTCTCCAAATTTGACTTTCCTGTCACTTAGGATTTACTGTTTCATTTTTAAAAGTTTCAAATTTAAAAAGGATAATAAACAGAAATTTTATAATTTGAAAAATAATGAACAAATGCATTTATTGTCGGATGTGCATGCACATATTTCTCTGTGTCTCTGTGTCTCTGTCTCTGACTCTGTCTCTGTGTCTCTGTCTCTCTCTCTGTCTCTCTCTCTCTCTCTCTCTCTTTCTCTCTAGATCAAAGGACAACCTGCAGAAGTTAGTTCTTTCTTTACACTAGGTGGTATCTGGGAATCAAACTGTAACCTTTGCTTTTCCTGGTAAAGGGTGAGTAAAACTGTCAGCCTGAGGTACTATTTTTTTTTCCTTGACAGATTGTGTGTACATATATATGGAGGGGGTATAGGTGTATGTATGAGTGAGGGCCCAAAGCCATCAGAAGAGGGCAACAGATTTTACAGATCTGGAGTTACAGGAGTTTTTGATCTAGTTGAAATGGGTGCTGGGAACCAAACCAAGGTCCTCTATAACAGCAGGAAGCAAAGGTTTTCCTTTTAGGATCCTCTGTAGGGCTGGATTAGTAGAATGATATTTTTTGAATTTGTCTTTATCATGAAACATCTTAGTTTCTTCGTATATGGTGATTGAAAGGTTTGCTGACTATAGTAACCTGGGCTGGCATTTGTGTTCTCTTAGAGTGTGTGGGACATCTATCTGTCCAGGATCCTCTGGGTTTTAGAGCCTCTGTTGAGAAGTCTAGTGTAATTCTGACTGGTATTCTTTTATGTGTTACTTGACCTTGTTTCCTTACAGCTTTTTAATATTTTTCTTTGTTCTGTGCATTTAGTGTTTTGATTATTATGCGATAGGAGGATTTTCTTCTCTACTTGGTGTTCTGTAGGCTTGTACATTATAATATGTCTCTTACATTAGCTTATGGATGTTTTCTTCTATGGTTTTGTTAAAGATGTTTCCTGGCTCTTTGATCTGTGAATCGTCACTCTATTCTATTTTTATTATCATTATGTTTGATCTTTTCACTGAGTCCCAAATTTCCTGGATGTTTTGGGTTAGGAGATTTTTACACTTTGTATTTTCTTTGACTATTGTGACAATATCTTCTATGGTATTTTCTATGCCTGGGATTTTCTCTTCTATCTCTTGTATTCTGTTGGTGAAAACAAAACTTTTAACCACTGTCTGTAGCCCCCAACCTCTTTCTTGTGTTTTCTGTCGTCAAGGTTCCCTCCATTTGTGATTTCTTTATTGTTTCTATTTTCATTTTTAAGTTTTTGAATGTTTTGTTCAAATCCTTCAATGGATTGATTGTATTTTCTTTTATGTCTTTAAGGGATTTATTTGTTTTCCCTTTAAGGGTTTCTATCTGTTTGTCTGTGATTTCCTGTATTTAAGGGAGTTATTTATAACCTTCATAGGTCACTTACCTACCCACCCTGCTCCTTATCTCCTGTCCTTGCTGGAAAATTAACTATATTGACATATACTCATAATTCATAGTGTTGAGTTTCTGCAAAAACTCACCTGCTATCTATGTCTTTGATTTTGAATTAAAGCCTGTCATGAGAGAATCTAAACACCTGTTTCAGAGCTCTAAATTCGTTCTTGAGCTTTTTCTATATTGATTTCATTCCCAGTGATTGCTTTTTGTCTTTGATGGTATTCATTGGCCTTTCATTTAACCTGGATATTCTCACAATCCTGTGTCCAGGCAATTTACTTCCTTATTTAATGACTACTTTGCATAGGTCCTAGAGACCAACCCAGCTGTCCATGATTTATAAACCAGGCCTTTGTAGTGAGATCTGAATTAAATCAGACAGGCAGGGACCTCAAGATGAAATCACAGACCTGGGTCTTCATATTCCTCTTGAACTGGGTGTCTGGTGAGACATTAAACAGTTTTAGAATATCTTAAAAAATAGTTCATTTGTAATGAAACATTTATTTTCTATAGGAAGTCAATAGTAAGCAGACAATGCATTAGAAATGACATTTTAGATTCTAACATTTGTATCATGAATCTTTGTATGTATATATGTATACTCATTGATTATTTCTGATTACAGGTGCTGATGGGAACATTGTGATGATCCAGTCTCCCAAATCTATGTCGACATCAGTAGGAGACAGGGTCACCATGACCTGCAAGGCCAGTCAGAATGTGGGTACTGCTGTAGCCTGGTACCTTCAGAAACCAGGGAAGTCTCTTGAACTGCTTATCTATGGGGCATCCAACCGGTATACTGGGGTCCCTGATCGGTTCATAGGCAGTGGATCTGGGACTGATTTCACTCTCACCATCAGCAAATGTGCAGGCTGAAGACCTGATAGATTATTACTGTCAGCAGGTTACAACTATCCTCCCACAGTGCTTCAGCCTCATACACAAACCTCCTCTGAGATTCTAAACAGCTGCCTGTTCTACACATCATGAAACCTACACACTTCCCCTTCTGCCTGAAGCTGCTATCCCCAAACATACACACTTCCCCTTCTGCCTGAAGCTGCTATTCTTAACTGAAGCAAAGCTTGGTAGAAAATAAATGAACAGATTCTTTGAATTTGAAAGTCCTTATGGAAAAAAAATGAGATGGAACCATTTGTGTCTTTTTTTTTTTCATGTTTAAATTCTATGTATTGAACATGACAAGTTTATTATCTTATATTCTGGGGAGAAAAATTTAACCATGAGGCTACATGGGCTAAAAGCAAAAGCCTCTGCTATATTCCCACTGGAGGATATAGAAGTGAACTTCGCTTTTGTTTTGCTCAGCTTTAAGAGGTCTCCTTTTCTTTTTTTTTTTTTTTGACTCCTGCAATATCCCTCAATTTCTCCTTTTGGTTAAGTTTATGTATTTACACATATAATGTTTGCTTTCATAAAAAATATAAAATTATATCATGTATTTTGAGAGTCTTCTTTCCCTTGTTTCTTCTGTCACCATCTTTCTCTCCAACTAATATACTTCCAATCCCTAGTCTTCCACCTATTTACATGTGACATACACATGTGCCCACTAACATGCACACACAAACATACACACATACACACAGTTTTTTATGAATCTATAAAAATCTAGGATGCAAAAATCAGAGAAAGCATGATGTTTTACTTTTTAAACAACATATAAGATCTATGAGTCCTATTCCTAGGCCACATCTGCCTCTGCTGTTTTCTTATTTACTTTCCTACAACCACACATCCCTAGACCTACCACTTCCCCTTCTGCCTGCAACTGCTATGCCTAACTGTTGCAAAGTTTGGTAGATAATTAATGAACAGATCCTTTGAATTGGAAAGTCTTATCCAAGTACTGTGATACCTCGTTCTATAGTACACTACACTAACAGTGAGTATGATTTTGTATCATGAGAGTTGTGTTTGTTTTTCTGTCCTATAATAATTAACAATGTTTGATATTTGTTGAGGGAAATACTTTGTACTTTAATAAAAACACTATGTTAACTAATCTGAAACATTTATTAACTTAAATTAGTTGAAAACATTTTGTTCTTGTTATTCAGTTTTCAGTTATGTATCACTGGTTGTGAAAGAGGCAGATGAATTTTGATTTCACAAAATTCTACCTGCCTCTTCCTTAGCACTGGGGTCAATGGTATGGGCCACCACATCCAGCCTTGAGCACCAGTTTGAATCATAGTGTTGGAACAGGCACAGGAGTTCATTAGGTTAAAAACAGTTGTTTGTGAATTCCAGATATCTTCCATCAATCTTCATGTGAATAGGCCTTCTTTTTTTTAATTTTTTTATTGGATGTTTTATTTACATTTCATATGTTGTCCCCTTACCCCATCCCCCACCCACCCAGGAACCCCCAATCCCCTCACCCCTCCTCCTTCTTTTCTGTGGATGTAACCTCTATCTACCCTCCCCCACTCCCATCTCCCCACCCTCAAAATTCCCACCCCCTGGGGCATCCAGCCTTCATGAGGTCAAGGTTCTCTTTTTTCACCTATGCCCAGCAGGGCCCTCCACTCTTACATATTCAGCTAAAGCCCTGGATCCCTCCCTAACTGCTCCCAGGCTGGTGGTTTAGACCCTGGGAGCTGTGGTTGGTTGGTATTGTTGCTCTCCTCATGGTGCCTCAAATCCTTTCAGCTCCTTCAGTCTTCACTCTAACTCCTCCATTGGGAACCCCATGATCAGTTCAATGGCTAGTTGTGAGCATCTGCCTCTGAATATGTCAGACTCTTGAAGACCTCTGAGGAGACATCCATATCAGGCTCTTATCAGCATGCACTTCCTGACTTCCACATCAGCATCTACCTTTGGTGATTGCACATGGGATAGATACTCAGGTGGAGTGGTCTTCAGATGGCCCCTTCTTCAGTTTCTGTCCCTTACTTTGTCTCCATATTTGCTCCCTTGAGTATTTTGTTGCTTCTTCTAAGAAGGACCGAATCACCCCCACTTGGTTTCCTTCTTTATGAGCTTCATGTGGCCTGTGAGTTGCATCTTGGGCATTTCAAGGTTCTGGGCTAATATCCAATAATCAGTGAGTGAATACCATGTGTGTTCTTTTGTGATTGGCTTATCTCACTCAGGATGATAATTTCTAGTTCCATCCATTTTCCTAGGAACCTCTCGAATTCATTGTTTTTAATAGCTGAGTAATATTCCATTGTGTAAATATACCACATTTTTTAAATCCATTCCTCTGTTGAAGGACATCTGGGTTCTTTCCAGCTCCTGGCTATTATAAATAAGGCTGCTATGCACATAGTTGAGCATATGTCCTTGTTATATGTTTGAGCATCTTCTGGGTATATGACTAAGAGTGATATAGCTGGATCGTCAGGTAATGCTATGTCCAATTTTTTGAGGAACCGCCACACTGATTTCCAAAGGCCTTCCAGTGTAAAGAGGATGAACACGGACATGGTGTACTTGGTGAAAAGCATTAGTTTGTGTGGACTGTGCTAGTGTGTTTCTTCTACATGGTGACAAACTGTATTAGGAAAAAAACTTAAAGAAACGAACATTTATTTTATCTCACTGGTCAGTTTTCTTCTTCTTCTTCTTCTTCTTCTTCTTCTTCTTCTTCTTCTTCTTTTCCTCCTCCTCCTCCTCCTCCTCCTCCTCCTCCTCCTCCTCCTCCCTCTTCTTCATCTCCTTCTCTTTCTCCTTCTCCTTCCCCTTCCCCTTCCTTTTCCCCTTCTCCTTCTCCTTCATTCTTCTCTCATATGTTACATGCCAACCATTTTCTTCTTGCACCCCTCCCAGCATCCCTAACTTTCTTCTCCTCAAGATTCACTGCTCATCTGTTTCCCTTAAAACAACCAACCAAACAACCAAAGATACAAACAAACAAACAAACATAAAACTGAACATGGATATAAACTGAACATAGAATAACATGTTATAATAAGACTGGACACAAACCCTCATACTACATTGGCAGATGCAACCCAGTAGGAGCAAAATGATTACAAGACAAGGTAAAAGAGTCAGACAATGACATCCTCCTCTTCCACTGCTAAGATTCCAACAAGAACACCCAGCTACACAACCCTTATGTATATGCAGAGGATGTACCTCGTACATTGTCCTATAGAGGTCCATAAATGTCACTTCAGTCTCTGTGAGGTCTTATAAGGCCTATTTAGTTGATTCTTTGGGCCATGTTCTCATGGTGTCCTTGACCTTGCTGGGTCCTACTACTTTCTCTCCCTTTTTTACAGAGTTCCCCTGGGTCTGCCTAGTGTTTGCTTAGTGTTTCTGCATCTAATCCCATCAGATGCTGGATGACATCTTTCTGATGACAATTATGTAGACCCTATCTCTGAGTATAGCAGAAAGTCTTTAGTAAATAATTCATTGATTTTTATTGTTTCTGTTGTGTTTGGTTCTATCATCAGATTTTTGGATGTCCATCCTCTGGTTCCTGGCTACCTAGTCAGTGTCAGGCATTGGCTCAGGCCCCTAGCATGGGACCATTCATTAGTTGGGCTTTTGCAAAAGTTTTGTAACATTGTTACCCCAGAACAACTTGCAGGCTGGAGAGATTGTAGTTCAAAGGTTTTGTGGCTGTGTTGGTATCCCAACCCCTACACTGGAACTCTTGCCTGGTTATAGAAGATGGTCAATTTAGGCTCAATACCAGCCATTATTAGGCATTTTTACTAGAATTACTTTCAGAGATTCTAGGGAATTTCCACTGCAGTATGTTTCCACTTTGCCTTCCAAATGGACCCTATTTCCAAATTCAATCACCTCCCCAATACTCTCTTGCTTCATACAGCCCCCAACTGATTGTTTTTGTTCCCATCCCTATCTTCCCCCTAGTCTACCTGTAACACACATTCTATTTTCCCCTTCTCAGGGAGATTCAAGCATGCATCCTTCCTTGAATCTTCCTTGTTACTTAGCTTTTTTAACTCTGGATTTTAGTATAATTATATTTTACTTAACAGTGATTATTTGTACATTAATGAACACATACCATATTTGTTTTTCTGGGTCTAGGCTACATCACTCTGGAAGGTTTTTTGTTTTTGTACTTTCACACATTTGTCTGCAAATCTCATAATATTATTATTATTATTTTTAAACCTGAGCAATTGTCCATTGTGTACAGTTACTGCAATGTATCTTGAGGTAGCTTGATTCCCAGTTTTCTTAGGAAACCTCATACTGATTTTCACAGTGGCTGTAGAAGTTTGCACTCATACCAATAATGGAAGATTTTTCTGCTTGCTTCCCATTCTTTCCAGCATGAGCTGTCACTTGTGTTTTTGATAATAGCCATTCTCATAGGTGAAAGATGGAATAACAAAGTAGTTTTATTTGCATTTCCCTGAAGGCTAAGGATGTTTAACATTTCAAGTGTTTCTCATCCATTCAAGATTCCATTCCTCCTTCCAGTCTGTGCCCAAACATTGAGCAGATCCCGAACAGCAGCTCTGCAACCAATCTCACAAAACCCAGAGGAAGCCGGGCTCCCAGGAGGTCTAAACTGGGCAGTATCTCAGGTAAGGAGACAGCAACATCAACTCCAAACAGGAAATAACTGCAACTCACCAGGACCCAGGAATTCACTTCTGGCCCACAGAACTGGTTCCTTCTGATCTGCACCCAAGCATTGAGCAGATCCCTGGTGGCAGCTCGAACCCCAGCAGCAATACCCACCACAAACTGTTCTGACACAACCAAGATAATAGGAAAGACAGGCTCCAGTCAGAGACAGGGCAGGCAGCACTAAGGTGATCCAGATGGTGCAAGGCAAGTGCAAGAACATAAGCACCAGCAAACCAGGGTACTTGGCATCATTACAACCTAGTTCTCCCACACTAGAAAGT